TATTTTTTTTTTCAGGGCCGCCCCTGTTCCCTAAATTTTTTTTGTGGAGAGCTGTTTTCATTTGAAGCATTTTTTCTCTCTTGCAAAAAACATGTATCTATTATGGTATTTGAGTAAAAAAAATTTATGGACTGAGGGTTAGTCACTTAAAATTTTCAAGAAAACTAAGTTGACGGTTGTCAACGTTACAATAAACAATTTGATAATTTTGACAGATATGTATATTGTAGAACTGTAAAAATTGTCGATACTACTCATTTTATGTATGTATTGTATTTTTTCTGTTTCGATTTAAAGTTTTTGTGAAGGAGTTATTTCAAACATTTTGTGGTTGGTATGGAGTATACATTCAATGAACAAATTGATATGTTGCTAGTGCTTGGTTTCTGTAATGGCAACTGCCGTGAGAGTGTTCGGGTATACCATGAAAGATTTCCAAATCGACAGATTCCGAATCACCAGACTTTTACTTCTATCGAGAGACGACTTCGAGAAATTGGTCAACTGAAACCAAACAGAAATAATGCTGGAAGGCCTCATCATGTTAGAACTTCTGCTGCAGAGGAGGAAATACTTGAAATAGTTGAAAATAATCCCGGAATTAGTACCCGACGACTGGCACGCCAAACTAGGATTTCAAAAAGCACATCCAACAGAATAATTAGAGAATAACTTATGTATCTCTTTCACATTCAAAGTGTCCAGGAACTCCTACCTCCTGATTATGAGTCTCATTTGCATTTTGTACAAGTTATTCAAGAGCACAGACCGGCCGATCCAGTTTTTCACAGAAAATTTTTTTTACAGACGAGTCATGCTTTACACGACGTGGTATAACAAATTCACATAACGAACATGTTTACGCAGATGAAAATCCACATGCGATTAAAGAGAAACACTTTCATTTGCCTCAACTGTTAGAAGATATACCGCTCAATTTACGCCGTGACATGTTTTTTATGCACGATGGTGCACCACCTCATTTTTCCCGCATTGTGAGAGATTATTTAAACGAACAATACCATGGAAGATAGATTGGCAGAGGTCGGGATGCTCCTATTCAGTGGCCACCTCGATCACCGGACTGTAATCCTTGTGATTATTTTATCTGGGGTCACTTGAAAACCAAAGTTTATGAAGTTCCTATCGACAACATAGAACAATTATGGGGTAGGATTCAAACTGCTGAAAACTCTATGCGAAATGATCTAGGCATTTTGAGAAAGGTACACTTCAATTTCTTGCGCCGAATTGAAATCTGCATGAACGAAGGAGGCGGCCATATTAAACATTTATTGTAAAAAAAATTTATCCTTCTTTTCGAATTGTTATTTTTCAATAGATACCTATGCCTATTAATGATTGTTTTATTGTAATAACGTTAAAATCGTGTTCGGGTTGCAGTAGTAACCGCCAACTTAGTTTTCTTAAAAATTTTAAGTGACTAACCATCAGTCCATAAAATGTTTTTTACTCAAATACCATGAGAGATACATGTTTTTGCAAGCAAAAAAATACTACAAATGAAAACAGCTCTCCACAAAAAAAATTTAGGGAACAGGGGTGGCCCTGAAAAAAAATAAGATGTCATTTATTGTAGGATTAGGGTGGTTTTTACCCTTCCATAATTTCAGTTGGTGTAATTTTTACTTTGAACAATGGCTCTTCAATTAAAATAGCTACACACCAAATTTTATAAAAATCGAACGAAGCGTTTTTGTGTTATTAAAAAAAATTTAAAATTTTCTTCCAACTTTGAAGCTTCCTCACAGGCAAACGATGGATTTTGTGATATAGGTAATTTTAGCTCAATCGACTTATTTTGATCTCAGCAACATACAGTAGATCTATGTACACGGAATTTTGGGATGTTTAATTATCTAACTTTTCTAGACCTATTCTGCATGTAGTTTCTGTGTTCTAAACTAGAACGTTATATCTTTTACTTAAAGATATACATATATATTTGTTTAAATTTAGATAGGTAGTTTTAGGGAAACACCGATATCATAAGCATAAGGTTTTGTGTTATTTTCTTTTTTTAACCAGGTTTATTTTGTTAATTTTATAACTAAATAAAGAATAAGGGGAAATCACTTAGTTAGTCCATGTAACGGGTTGATAACCTGTTTTGTTTTGTAAAACCGTTTATTTGAAGAGGAAGAAGAGTTGATTTTTATTTGAAGTGTAATAAAAAAGTATAAGTTAAGGTTGTCTTTTAATCCCTCATCTTTTATTAGATTTAAGATAGGTTTGTTCTAAATTATTTAAGGCTCAGCTAAATCTAATTAACGCCTCCCCTTTTTAAGACAATATATTAGTAATCCCAGATTATTTTTGTGATTACCCACTCCCATCTCCACATGAGTAAACCAGAGCCACACGGTTGACATCTGGCACAATCTAGACTTAATATCAACGAAATTAACTTTATACTTTATATTATCTTAGAATAAATTTCCTCTTAAATTTGCTTATACAACGATACCAATATGTTAGCCAATAACACATCCCAACTAACAAAGTAGCTTTATAATTTTTAGTTTACAAGACTATTATATTTTATTGATATTATATTGCTGTTTCTGGAATGCTAATTTATTGTACTACAGTTGCAGAAATCACTATTTTGTTCTCTGAAACTAAATAGTTATATAAATTAGTTTTTACAATATTCTTACAGCAAAATTATAAAATTGTTTTACGATAACTACGAAATTGTTACATAAACATTTATACAACTGTTCTATACAATATTTCAGCTTATAAAATAAAATTGCTTTATAGTTATTCTATATTATTGTTCTGGATTACCTTTAGAACTTTTTGGTCATACAAATATAACTGTTTCTTAACCTCATAATAACGCTTTAAAAAATAGTTATATAAATATTAGTGTGAGATAATTCCGCATCAATAGCAATTTGCTTCTGATGAAAACTCTAAAATAACTGTAATATATTGTCGAAATATACTATTACAAATCAAAAAACTGTATAACAATTATTTTAGTTAAGAATAGTATTATCCCTTTAAAAATTTTTATAAAAAAATAAAGCAACTACATTTGGTAGTACCTACGCCATATTATTTTTGTATTTTATGTTTGTTCAACTACTTTCCATACCAATTGTATGTGAGTGTATAGTCTGAAAATGTCAAATTTAAATAGTGAAGAAATGTAAAAAATAAGTGGTACCTGCTTTTCAGAGAACAGTAAAAAATATTAGTAAAACATTTTGATGGTTTGTCTAGACACTCAAAAAAAAAACTATCATTCAGCCAGATAATAATTAGGTATGTTCTGAATAATCATGCCCCAATACTAAAAGAAGGCCATATTTTTGGCGATGTCCATGTTAAACTTGCTTATTATCGTAATATTAAAAATTATGCTTGCTCTATAAAGCTGTAGAAACAAATCGGAAACGATTTAGTAAGGTTATGTTATATTTTGTCATATAGTGCAGAAATATGAAACAATTATACAACAAACCATGATGAAGTTGTTTTGTAGAAATAAGTAATACAACTTAATTATTGTATTACAGCTGTTTTTACTACAATAATATTTTATAATTATGATTCAGTCTTAAAATAACTTTCTAATACCTCTGAATAGCCGCCATATTTAACAAAAACCTAAGACAGTTTTAAAGCTAAATCTACTGTCGCTTTTACTAGTATTTAAGACAAAACCAATGTAAATTAAAGATTTTAATCATTAGTAATATTAGCATAATCTTATTACTAAAAAAAATCAAATTGCATAAATTTAATTTTTGTTTCACACTGAAAAAGTATTAGAAATATGAATCAAACTCGAGGCGCTTAAAAATTTAGTATTGTATGTGCTATATAATTAACAGTAATTCTTGCTGCGCATCCAAAAACGACTTTATTGTAGGTCATACATTATGTTTAAACCGCGTTATAGATATCTCTTAAGTAAATACTGCCATTTTACTAATATCGCCTTGAATTTACTTTTATGACAAATATAGACTTAATTTGTTTTCACCAGACACATTTAAAAAACTAAAATGTTACTGATTTTGATATGCAACCTAACCTCAAAATTGAAAATTTATAAAACAGTTATAAAAGTTTAAAAAAACATTTGTTTAAAGTCTGTGTAAATGTGTAGTAACTGTTCGGTAACTGCATTTAACAAATCTTATAGAATTTACAAAAGAACCAAATAGTTCTGTAATACTGCGCCCATTTTGTGTTTATTACTGTTGAAAGAATGTTCCGGAAATGTTCTTAGCTAATATTCTATTTTATAAATTTTGTTCTGTAAACATTTTTTCAGCTTTTATAAAATATCAAATTGTTACTTGGGATATACAGGGTGTCCCATCAGTGCGTAATTAATCGATAGCTGTTTTATTATTAGAAATACGAAGACATTTTTACTATAAAAGTTGTATGATCATATTTAACAATTATTCCTAAATATACAGGGTGGTCCATAAACAAGGTGCTGGCCAAGGAAAATGCCTGCAATAACTGGACAGGAAAGTCATGTGTTGAAGACATCAGATTTTTGTTGATGCAATTAAATTTATGTAATGATAACAAAAACACTTTTATTATTCCTTAACAAAATCTATTTTGTTAATGTTACCTCAGGGGTAGTCCCATATAATTTTAGTCACGATCGGTTGATGGAATACATGAAAAAATAATCAAACTCTTCATTTTTGAAGTCAGTTTTCAAAAATTAGTTTTATAACTTGTTTTCATATTATGCTGTTATACGATAGTAATTTAGCAGTTTCAATGGGAAATTTAGCCTTTAAGATATTTATTTGTTAAAGAGCTAACATGAACTTTGCATCATGAAGCTACAGTCCATAATTAGATCGAGTCACCTGCACATGCGATGGCCCGGTCGCTTTGGTTCCGCGACTTCCGCTACATACCCAAAAGACCTATCTCGATCTACATGTACGTAATGTTAATACAATCTCCAACAAGAAAATAAAAAACTAGTGTGTGTTTGGTTTCATTATTTATTTCAATCTATGTTCACTTTAATTTTAAGAAACAGTTTGACAAAGAGGATAACCTACTGTACTGCAATCTTGATCATTCCACGTACCACTCTTAAAGAAGTGAGGCTTTATGGATAAACAAAACTCATTTTTCATGGTTGGTTCTCCTGTACCCCAATCGAATGAGGTAATTGTGTCCCTACTTGGTAGCCATATCCAGTCGCCTGTTGATGGAATTAGTGCTCCTGCTATCCATAATAGAGCGTCTTCATTAACTATAAATTAATTTAATTACTAATCATATCTATATCTATATAATTATATAAATCCGAAAGTTTGGATGGATGGATGTATTTTTGTTGCTCAATCACGCAAGAATGGCCTAACGGATCTGGATGAAATTTGGCACAAATATAGATTATAGCCTGGAATAGCACATAGGCTACTTTTTATCATGAAAAAATGTACGGTTCCCGTGGGATCGATTTGTTTTTGTTTTTCAGCGAGCAAGGGATCGGACATAATTTATTTTTTGCACAGTGGTAGTGAAACATGAAAATTTGAAATACTGCTAATAAGCATAAATAAATAATCACGTGTTTCAGGGTTCCTGGGGGAAACAGGGGTTAAAAGTTTGCATGGAAGCATCGATTTTTTATAGGTAAGTACTTGAAAATTGGAATTATAGCTACTCATCACAAATAAATAAAGGTGTTTTTGGATTTTCATATTTTAAGAGGGGAAAGAGGGAAAATGGGGGTAAGAGAGAAAATGAGGAAAAGAAGGAAAATGGGGGAAATTGGGGAAATGTGGCGAGTGAAAGTTTGTATGGTAGGAACTTGAAAATTGGAATTGTAGGTACTCTTCATAAATAAATAGACATGTTTTAAAGTATTTGGATTTTACATATTAAGCGAGGAAACGGAAGATGAAAGTTTGTATAAGACTTTCGGTTTTTTAATTGTAGAAATTTGAAAATTGGAATTGCAACTACTCATCATAAGTAAATAATGACGTATTTCAAGGTTTTTGGAATTTAACATTTTAAGAAGGAAGGAAAATGGGTAGTTTCGTAAAAATAGAAACAAAAAAATAAAAAAATAACTAAAAATAAATAAAAATAAATAAAAATAAATAAAATTAAATAAAAATAAATAAAAATAAATAAAAATAAATAAAAATAAATAAAACTAAATAAAAATAAATAAAAATAAATAAAAATAAATAAAAATAAATAAAAATAAATAAAAATAAATAAAAATAAATAAAAATAAATAAAAATAAATAAAAATAAATAAAAATAAATAAAAATAAATAAAAATAAATAAAAATAAATAAAAATAAATAAAAATAAATAAAAATAAATAAAAATAAATAAAAATAAATAAAAATAAATAAAAATAAATAAAAATAAATAAAAATAAATAAAAATAAATAAAAATAAATAAAAATAAATAAAAATAAATAAAAATAAATAAAAATAAATAAAAATAAATAAAAATAAATAAAAATAAATAAAAATAAATAAAAATAAATAAAAATAAATAAAAATAAATAAAAATAAATAAAAATAAATAAAAATAAATAAAAATAAATAAAAATAAATAAAAATAAATAAAAATAAATAAAAATAAATAAAAATAAATAAAAATAAATAAAAATAAATAAAAATAAATAAAAATAAATAAAAATAAATAAAAATAAATAAAAATAAATAAAAATAAATAAAAATAAATAAAAATAAATAAAAATAACAAAAAAGTAACTAAAAATAAATAAAAATAAATAAAAATAAATAAAAATAAATAAAAATAAATAAAAATAAATAAAAATAAATAAAAATAAATAAATAAAAATAAATAAAAATAAATAAAAATAAATAAAAATAAATAAAAATAAATAAAAATAAATAAAAATAAATAAAAATAAATAAAAATAAATAAAAATAAATAAAAATAAATAAAAATAAATAAAAATAAATAAAAATAAATAAAAATAAATAAAAATAAATAAAAATAAATAAAAATAAATAAAAATAAATAAAAATAAATAAAAATAAATAAAAATAAATAAAAATAAATAAAAATAAATAAAAATAAATAAAAATAAATAAAAATAAATAAAAATAAATAAAAATAAATAAAAATAAATAAAAATAAATAAAAATAAATAAAAATAAATAAAAATAAATAAAAATAAATAAAAATAAATAAAAATAAATAAAAATAAATAAAAATAAATAAAAATAAATAAAAATAAATAAAAATAAATAAAAATAAATAAAAATAAATAAAAATAAATAAAAATAAATAAAAATAAATAAAAATAAATAAAAATAAATAAAAATAAATAAAAATAAATAAAAATAAATAAAAATAAATAAAAATAAATAAAAATAAATAAAAATAAATAAAAATAAATAAAAATAAATAAAAATAAATAAAAATAAATAAAAATAAATAAAAATAAATAAAAATAAATAAAAATAAATAAAAATAAATAAAAATAAATAAAAATAAATAAAAATAAATAAAAATAAATAAAAATAAATAAAAATAAATAAAAATAAATAAAAATAAATAAAAATAAATAAAAATAAATAAAAATAAATAAAAATAAATAAAAATAAAAAAATAAAAATAAATAAAAATAAATAAAAATAAATAAAAATAAATAAAAATAAATAAAAATAAATAAAAATAAATAAAAATAAATAAAAATAAATAAAAATAAATAAAAATAAATAAAAATAAATAAAAATAAATAAAAATAAATAAAAATAAATAAAAATAAATAAAAATAAATAAAAATAAATAAAAATAAATAAAAATAAATAAAAATAAATAAAAATAAATAAAAATAAATAAAAATAAATAAAAATAAATAAAAATAAATAAAAATAAATAAAAATAAATAAAAATAAATAAATAAAAATTAACGATATAATTATAATTTAAAATTATTAAAATGTGTACTAAAAAAGTTTCCGTCTCCCTACTTTAAAGTAACGATGTTATGGGGTAATCGTCGTAGCCAACCCAACAGTTATAAGGCGAGGATAGGAAAGAGCTAGCAGAAAGTGTTTGGAAAAATACTAGATTCATAATCGCTGCGGTTTTTTCGCGCATGTATACTGCGGAATTGTCAAATAATGGGAGAGTTCAATAATATTTTTAAATATCTAACTAAATATAGGTACTTACATAATATTTTCATCTGGGCTACTAATTCGGCATTTTCATTTTGATTATTTATAACTGCCAATTTTTGATTATTGCTTTTGCAGAAATCGAGTGAATCGATGAAATTCTTCTACAAATACAAAAATAACGTTAACCTAGGTAAATGACAATAAGTTAAAAGTAAAACTTTCTTGGAACTATGCGAGTTTTAGGTTCTATAATCTAAGTTTACTTTTATGACAGAAATAGGATAAAATTAAATGTTTCGACGACTACGAATTTAAACTTTTAGAAAATTATGTCATTAGTGTTTTATTGGTTTTGGTCGTTTGGTCGTAGAAAACGCATAGGGCACAACAAGTGCACCTGTTACACAAAATAATTTTTTGTTTTTTTTTTCTAAATATCATTACTGAACTATTTAGGTAAAATATGTAGGTGTGTCTAAACCATAGATTTACGGAGCGATACTATGCTTCAGTGTGCGCTGGATCCTTCTATGAGGGCTGTAGCAGATGCAGAGAAAAATGGGGACGTAGAGACAAAAATATTTATTTGCAATATTAAAAAAATACTATACAAATATATATTTAAGAAAAATTTTAAAATATTGTATACTGATAGTGTATCTATTTAGTTAATTAAAATATTAATAGTGCAAAAAACCGATCTAACAAAATCACACTGAGTATACCAGTTTTAACTTATTTAAAATTCGGAATGTTGGATTTAAAAACTGTGATAAACTATTTGTATCGGACGCAGGTCCAGCCTAGATCAAAAAAAATTATGAGGATATATTCCTATAATGAAGTCTAATCAGCAGGTAACTGCAGGAAATTCTCAAATGAATACTACTTACTTCATTGTTTTCAGCACACACAGGACACCTCCTATAAAAATAGCTATAATAATTATATTATTAGACAACACAAAAATTCACGACTACATAGTTGCAATCGGAACATTGGCCCCCAAAATTTTATTTTTGCTTCCAGGATATGGTACAACAGAATATGTATATCCTTAACATCCTCACAATACGTAGGTTAACTAGTAGAAAATAAAAAAATCATCAGAATAAATCGCGAAAAACTAGAAATTAGGCAACTCATAAATAAATCACAAAGACTATTAATTTCAAACATTTACCCATTTATGATATGGAAGAAAATGAATTAATTACTCTAGGCTTAAAACTTGTTTCCAAACTAACATTTCTTGGTGTAGGCATGCCCGAGTCTGAATACGGACATGTTCACAGTATCAGGTGCCAAATTTACATTAATCCTGTTCAAAACGAATCTATTCCCGACTCCATACTTATTCCGTTTGAAAATGACTCACACAGAATATATCTTTCAATTGATATAAACTGCCCGTGGTTTCGAGAACTGTCCCTTTTACCACCACCAATTCAACCATCACCCCCTGCAATTCAACAACCGCTTTCAACAATTACAACAAATGCATCATTAGTATCACAGACCATATACACATACACAGTAATCAATGAAGAACCCGTCGAAACTGTCAATAAACCTTGACTCCAAACAAATAAAACTAATTCTTTAAGCCAACCATACATATTAAACGTACATAGCACTGACATGCCATCACAAAACAAATTCAGCCAATCGCAGCCAGAAAGAAGTACAGAATTATTGGAAACTTCTACAAACGTAAAGAGACAACTGTCTACAACCCCAGAGGGTGAAACCCCCAATAACGAACCTATATTTTTAAAACCATTAAAAGATCCCCCCAAAAAATATGTGCAAACTAATGAAAAAAATCTTAAACAAAAGAATTATGTGGTTCTTAAAAAAAGAAAGTCTACTCGCACCCCAACAAATTGGCTTCAGAAGACAGAGATGCACCACAGACAATATTGCAATCTTGGAGACCGAAATTAAAAAAGCATTTATGAACAACCAAAAAGTACTAGCCGTATTTTTCAAAATATATAAGGTCTTCGACACAGCTTGGTGACTTAATAAAAACAATGTACAAAATGGGAGTATCCGGCAGTACTCTGGCGTTTGTAAAAACACTTTCTGGATAACAGAACGTTCCAAGCAAAAGTAAATGGAGCAAAATCATCGACAAGAATTCTTCAAAATGGAACACCACAAGGAGCCGTCCTAAACCCAACATTATTTCTATTAGCAATAAATGACCTACTCTAAAAAATGAATCTTTTATTAAAAGCCAGCCTCTTCCCAGATGACTTAGCAGTTTAAACTAGAAGTACCAATACTTACATATCAATCAATACTATACAAATTCATAAAAAAATTTAAAACCTGGTCTAACACCACAGGACTCAAATTCTCAGAAGAAAAAACGTGATTGATCATCTTCAGCAAAAGAAAATGAGAAACCCCTTATAAGACTGCATCTAAATAATATACAGCTTAAAGCTGTGTTTCCCGACAAATGGCGACAAAATAAGACATGTAAAAAACACTCTTCTTTCGTGCAAGTTATTTTAAAAAATGTGTACTTTATCCAAGTTTTCAAAATATTTTATAATTCTGTATGGTATTAACTTTATGATGATACCATTTATGTTGCTAAAAAATTTGCGACAAGTTAAATAAAAATTTTATTTACACATACTAAACGGGCATACAGATCCGGTAATGTATTTAAATGTAATTCAAAATTGAAGAAGTAATATAAAAATTCTTGTATATCAATGAATTCTTCAAAATTTTTTGTATACTACACTCTATCATTGTAAATAAATACGTAATAAACTCGTAGACCTGCACGGAAGTTAAACATTCTTGCAAATATTGGAAAATAGCCATTTTGTCACTAGATTTCAGTTCAGTACAATTGCCGCGAGGTGTTACCCAAAACTTTAGTAACTTTCTTCTTTTAAAATAAAAAAAATGGTCTGCTTTTCATATATTATCCAGTTAAACCACCTGATCGGAGGCAAACGAAACACAAAACCATTAAATGTTATCTCGACGTGATAGTGCAGCCTTAAACAAAAAAACGCCATATCGTTCTTAGGCATAACACTAGACACAAATCTAACATGGACAGTTCTGGATTTCTCAATAGGCCGTATAGGCAGCTGCCTAGGGGCGGCAGCGTCCTAGGGGCGGCAGATTTCAGAGGACGCTCACTCGATTTCAGAGAATAAAAGTCAAACAAGTTCACTGGTTTTCTCATGTTTTTTTTTTATTAATACGTTAAATCCCTATAGAAAATTATCAATCCTAGGTACCTACTGTTATTGTATCTATTTTATCTATATTACGACAATTTGGTTCAAGAATGTGTGTATTTTCACAGTCACATTTCCTCTAATTCATTATACTTACGCGGGTTTCGGATTAAAAATTTTATGAGTATTTCCAGGTAAGTACCCGAAAGTTTGACCTGTTCTTTGGGGAAATATCAACTGGTTAAATGAAATGAAAAATAATGTACAACTTTTTAATTAAATAATAATGGAGAATATTTTGTATAATTTAAAGCATTAATGGAGTGGCTATTATAAACCTAATAATAATTTTATATTACACTTCACACAGAAAATATGGTATATGTATAATAAGAGGGTTATTTAGGTCAAATAAAATATTTACTTTAAAAATTTGTTCCATGTAGAGAATTTCAAATGAAAAATAAAAAATTGAACTTGCCAACAAAAATAAAAATCAGTCATTATCATCCAAAATATTATAATCGTCATCATCATCACTGTCATCACCATTAATTGTTATTATGATTGGACATTTATTTTATTTTCACGAGTCCACCAATCTTCTATTAGTTTCTCGCACTTGGATATACAGTTTCGCCACACTTCTGGAGATGCAATTGAAAGTGCTTTTCGCCAAGTTTCCCGAACTGCGTCGTCACTATAACCATTAGGCTCAATATGGTTGTCATAAAATTGTTTTGCTATTCCCCATATATATTCGATGGAATTAAACTGGCAATGACACGGTGACAGACGTAAAACTTGATGACCGTAACTTTCAATAATCTGATCCACAACAAAGGTTTGTGGTTTTGCGTGTATATTTGCCAAGCGTAATAATTCTGATTTTAATATATATATTGAGGATATGGTATATGTTCCTTTGTCAACCATTCTTTAATTTTATCAACAGTCCAAGAATTCGTTGGACTTTTGTTTAATACTTCAGAATGGTAAGGTGCATTGTCTAAAATAATTACGCTGGGCTCACTTAAACCCAGGAGAAGTTTTTCATGCAACCATTTTACAAACATTTCTGTGTTCATATTATCATGATAGTCACTGGATTTAAATTTAGGTGAAAATATTAAATCAGCACGTTCTATAAAACCCGATTTCCCTCCTACATGTAAAATTATGTGTCGTTTCCCTTCTCCATTGGTATGTTTGATGGATTTTACGTTATCATCTTGCCATATTCTCTTGGTTGCACCCCTAAAAAATATCCATGTTTCGTCTAAATATATAAAATTCGCCCCTTCTTCTTTAAATTTAGAATATTTTCTTAGAAAGTTAATTCTCTTGTACATGACAGAACTACTTTCACAAAGGGCCTTTCTGTTATCCTCCATTTGAAATTTGAAACCCAAGTTATGTATCACTTGCCATAGACTTGTTCTGCCAATGTCGTCAAATTTTCTATCTATTAATTCCGAGAGAATAGTATTTAAGGTCACATGTTCCTTGTTGGCCCTCATTCGATAAATGGTATCACGAATTTCAAATTTCTTTCCATCTGGAATATCTTTCGTTTTCATGATGGGCGAGTTTTGCGGTGATCTTCTTTCGGCAGTTCACTATTGTCATTTTGAAATACTCCTCTTAATTTGGTTTCACTAATTCCTAGAGCATCGCATACGCGTTGTTGTACAGACATTACCGATTTTAAAGGACCACCATTTTCTTTTTCATCCGTAAAATACTTATGTACACTACAAATTAGACTATCTACATCTAACACACGTCTAGGCATTTTTAAAATTTTCACTAAATTTACAATATACAACAACACTTGCAAATAATCAATTCAACTGCAATATTTGTAACAAATTTAGTACCTACCATAATGTTATTTTAATTTAAATCTGACCATTAGGGCAATTTTACCTAATTTCTTGGGAAGG